TGAGTGGTACTGACACTTGAATGAGAGATGGCTTACCCTCAAATGAGGGATCAATAACATTTGAATGAGAGATTGCTGTGACTTGAATTAAAAATGAGAGGTGCCTGGTTGAGAGATTACTGACATTTGAATGAGAGATTGCTGTGACTTGAATTATAAATGACAAGTGCTTGATTGAGAGATGACTAACATTTGAATGAGAGATTGCTGTGACTTGAATTAAAAATGACAGGTGCCTGGTTGAGAGATTACTGACATTTGAATGAGAGATTGCTGTGACTTGAATTATAAATGACAGGTGCTTGATTAAAAAATGACTGACATTTGAATGAGATATGGCTGTGACTTGAATTATAAATGACAGGTGCTTGATTGAGAGATGACTAACATTTGAATGAGAGATGGCTGTGACTTGAATTATAAATGACAAGTGCTTGATTGAGAGATGACTAACATTTGAATGAGAGATTGCTGTGACTTAAATTAAAAATGACAGGTGCCTGGTTGAGAGATTACTGACATTTGAATGAGAGATGGCGGTGACTTGAATTAAAAATGACAGATGCTTGATTGAGAGATCACTAACCTTTGAATGAGAGATGAAGAAATCTAGGACTTGAATAAGGTATAATTGACAATCGAATGAAAGATAAAAGAGGGAAGATGCTTGGAAAAAATGATTGATATTCCAACAAAAGATGACTTACACTTGAATGAAAAAGACTGATACATAAATGAGAGATTGCTTAAATTTAAAGGAGGAATAACACTTGAATAAGAGATGATTTCTGAATCAAATCCGAGATGAGCAACACTTCAATGGTAAATGACTGGCAGGATAATTGATAAATGACAGAGAAAGATGATTTAATGGCTGACACCGGATAAGAGGTGGCAGATTTAGGTTGGAGGTTATCAACATTTGATTGATAGAGGACTAATACAAAGTGAAGCTTAGCTAACAGTCATGTGAGAGATGACAACATTGCAGTTATAAACATATTAATTGGTATTTCATGGACATTGTACAAGCATGAGTGATTCAAGGAAGGTGATGGAAGTGAAATGAATAAAGACCAACAAACACTTAATAGAAGCCAAAGTTGCTGATGAATTATCCAAACTCAAATGCCAAGAATGTTTTACTGTCATCATACATTGTCATACCAATACAGATCAATTTTACGCTCTTTGGCTCTTACAAGTTGACATCTTCCAAAACTATGGAGTGTGTCTACAAATGCAGAAATAACAACTGGAAAATAAGATGAGAGCCTGACTTCCAACTGGAGTACAAAGACTAAAATGAACAAGAGTTCATGCTTAAAACCAGTGTGAACTAAGGAGGATTTTACATCCAATTTACATAATTAATGATTAAACACATGTAATTAAGCAATACCATCTTCAGAGGTACATATAACCTCAATTAATCGGAACTCAAATCCAATCACCCTAATGATTTCATCTTTAAACTATTGTAATATCAATGACCACACAGGGAATTCATCAATTTCTTGACATTGATACTAAATGTTTTTACCCTGGAATTTTTGCAATAAAGTTTCAATTATTGATGCAGGGGTCCAGTCAGCTGAACTTAAATTATTTACAAGCCTTGATTCTGGTTCAATAGATTGACATGACAGCTCATGTCAAATAGGCTGCCTTATATCAATCCTCATGTATTGGAATCAGATAGTGTGTACTCTACTTCTACATTATTATCCCATCGAACGAAGTTCGGAGGGATATAGGGAACGCCTCCGTCCGTCCGTACGTACGTCCGTCCGGACGTACGTCCGTCCGTCAGTCCGTCCGTCCGGGCAATAACTCAAATACCGTTGGCCCGATTTTGTTCATATTTTGTACACATATACCCTTTGGAGGTAGAAGTTCTGCTTGAAAGCCAATTTTCAAAATGGCCGCTCATTTCAAAATGGCGGCCATTTTAGTGACGATTTTACAGTTATTTAGGTGCAATATGTAAAACTGTAATAGCAATATGTTTTAAATGTAAAAAAATTATAAAGGACATTAATAATGCTACAAATGTAGATATTAAAGAAGCACATGGCAGCCATCTTGAAAAATGGCGGCCTTTACTCGTCATTTTACGATTTTTGCTGTAACTCAAAAAGTAGTGGAGCGATTTTGTTCATATTTGGTATGTGAATACTATAAGCATTGCACACTGTCTGAAGGCACTTTTGGTAGAAGGCGGCCATTTTTCAAAATGGCCGCCATTTTAACGTATTTTACTATAACTCGAAAAGTAGTGGAGCGATTTTGTTCATATTTGATATGTGAATACTTTAAGCATGGCACATTGTCTAATAAAACTTTAGGGAGTAGTCGGCCATTTTGAAAAATGGCCACCATTTTTATGTGTGTTATTTTTTTATGTGTGCGATTTTTCAAAAATTTTAGAGGTTGCTACTTAAAAGCATATTATTTCTTCTGATGACAACTTGGCTAGTGAGGAACCATTTTGAAAATGGTGGCCTTTCTGGTGTGTTGTTTTATGATATTTGCGCTTCGTTTGTAAAAATGCCAGCCATTTCTGTTCGATGGGATTCGCTACGCTTTGGCGTTGCCGTTGTTCTGGTTTGGCATCTATTTAGATTAAGCGTGAAATTATATTATGCCTTATGCCAATTAAAAAAAATTAAATCAATTTTATCCTACAGATTGTAGTATTTGCTAAAATCCCCAGGGACATGTTTCATCTGATGAAATTGCATATCTGATTTAATTGACGATTCCAATAAATCCTGCCACCTTTTGGTACATCATAGAAGCAATGATAAAGTGACTAGTTTGATGACATCATTGATTACTTTTCTTCTCACTTGAACTGGTTACTACCAACAACCTATGGCATCATCTATCATGTCAATCAATCTAATATGTCATTGCTTCCTTGTTGGACCAAAATGTGGCAGGATTTATTAGAAATATTTATTCATAGTCAATTTCAACAAAAAATGTCAATCGTTAACTGGCTGGCGCCTGACTGGTCAAGCGAAAAGGTCGCCGATTTAGAATTAGAAAAGCTCACTCCTGCAAAATTAATCTTTGATGTGAAGTTAATTTTAAAACTCAAATGACCACAAAAAATAGTTCAGCAGATTATTGACAATCATGTCTTGTGAAGTGTGAGTTTTTGAAGTGTGAGTTTTTGAAATTGCAAAGAATCTTAGATTACCAATGAATGAAGTTTTCATGATTGAAAATCTGGTAAACAAGTATGAAGAATCTAGGATATGACTGTCTGTAGTCTGCTGCAGTTATGCAATGTATTGTCATTCTAATTCATCTAATAAGTCAACTCAACAAATTAAATTATTGTTGTGTCAAATTGAATAGAAGTTCAGTACACACACACACTAAGTAAAAGATGAATATCTCAGAATGTTACAGGCATCATCCAAGGAACATTAGAATTATAAAAAATAGGAATTTAAGAATACTGAACTCCCTGAAGGTTCTAGAGTAGAATGTTAAATCTTTACATTTCAAATTTAATCTTCTAAATCAAAGTAATCTTCTCTTGGGTCTGTTCTCTTTGTGTCATCTAATCATACCTCACAAATGTGGCACCATGCAGGAACATCAGATGTGATTTTTTATAAAAAAAAATAGCAGTTGACATAACCCACGTTGTCATTGACCTTGGTCTCAACAATGGCAAAACCATGTGACTTTGACATTACCAATGCCCATGTATATCAGTCAGACTCTCCAGTGGACCTTTAACCAGTTGCCATTAACCATGCAATCATTCAGATAACCTGAATCAAGCTCTTATTGACCTGAATCACACTTGAATCATACTGAAATTGACTGAATCATTTTACAGTTGACCTGAATCATTTAGCTATTGACCAGAATTATTTAATTTCCATAGTTGACCTGAATCATATTACAGTTGGACTGAATCATATTACAGTTGGACTGAATCATTCTACAGTTGACCTTCATTGTGCTACAGTTGACCTGGGTCATATTACAATTGGCTTGAATCATGTTAGATTTGACTGAATCATTTTACAGTTGATCTGAATCATTTAGCTGTTAATCAGTCACATTTTACATGAATTATGCTACCGTTGACCTGAATCATTCTACAGTTGACCTGAATTATGCTACAGTTGACCTGAATCATTCTACTGTTGACCTGAATTATGCTAAAGTTGACCTGAATCATTCTACAGTTGACCTAAATTATGCCACGGTTGACCTGAATCATTCTACAGTTGACCTGAGTTGTGCAACGTGGCAGGAACGATGAAGCAGTTGAGATGAAGTCTTGGAATGGTATGCTTCAATCTTCTGTTTCAAGATGGTCAACAAACTTTCAAAATATACATTTTCTCATATATCTTCGATATTTCAATTTAGAGAAAATTTGAACTGAATTTACTGTACTCCGGGTAAGTTTCGACGCTATAAAATTTCGTTTTTTTTTAAATTGCAATTTCGCGGTTTTTTAATTTCGCGGATTTGAGTTGATGACATTTCACCGTTAATTTTAGGCCGTTCAGAATCCGAATCATGTTTGTATTTCCCACGTTTAGGGCATTTTTTTGATTTTTGAATAGCTTTTTCAACTTAAATTTGTAGGATATCATTGTCGTCAACAGTTCTTGCCTTTGTTGGCCTTATAAGCCAATTCAAAATGTTAGACATTTTAGGCCATTTTTGAATTATCGCCCAACAACACTGGACGAAACGTTTTACACCGAACGAAACATATCAAAAGTCCCAAGTCAAATCTCTGGGTATTTAAAACACAAATTTCGCGACGATAAATGTTCGCGCTTTTACTACATTCGCGAAAAAAGCGAAATTAAATCGCACGCGAACAATACCCGGAGTACAGTAAGTAAACTTGAAAATGCCTTGACCATCTTGAAAATATAGTTTTGGATAAAGAGGCTTTGTTATATTATATACATTGTTTAATCCTACATGCATTCTCTGATTGTTTTCAATAGAATGAAGACCAGCTGAGTCTCAAGCAGCTTACAGAGGTAAATATCATTTATATGCTATTACCAATTTCTTGAAGAGTCTCATTAAAGTTTTGTATTAAACAACAAAAAATTGCAGTACTTTAAAAAGGTAATCAATTAAGAATTAAGTGCCAAAATTTTGAGATGTGCCTATCCACATTTGGCATATCAACAATTACACTGGAAATATTGCCCAGTCATGCTGGGGATGTTACCCAATCAAAAATTAAAACTTAATTTACTCCTTCATGGAAAATAAGATAAGGATCCACCTCCTCGTGAATATTGAACAAATCACATAACAATATATAATCATTTTATACCTTTACTTAGACACCTGTGTCACATTAAAAGACCGTGTGCAGTATGGCAAGTAATTTTAGACGTCACATCTTTCACCATGAGTACTTTCTGGGCATAAATACAGTGGTTTTTATTAAAACAATATGTTTTCTTTCAAGTGAAGTACCCATGATAAAAAATATCAATCGAACAATTCGAGAAATTATGAATAGGGACCCCGTGTCAACATTTTTTTCAAAATATTGAACCTATTTACTCAAAAGAGGATCTCCCTTTTCTGATTTTTATTGCATGAAAAGATTATTCAACAAAGGATCTAAAACATCTTCAAAAATATAATTGTATTGAAAGTCTAGTTTTGAAGATATCAATTTTCGATGACCAAAATGATGCTGAAAACAATGGATAGCACGAGTTTTCCCTATCGGAAAATAACATGGGATATGTGGTTTTTAACTTTAACACTTTTCAGAAATTGTTCATATAGTGTAGAAGAAACTTTTGATATGTTTAAATTCAGAAAAGCAAGATCCTCTTTTTAGAAAATAAGCCTAACATTTTTTAAAAAGTGCCAAGGTGGGGCCCCAATCCATAATTTTTCAGAGAGTTGGATTGATATTTTACTATCATGGGGACTTTACTTGAAAGAAAACATATTGTTTTAATAAAAACCATTGTTTTTATGGCCAGAAAGTACTCATGGTGAAAGATATGACTGGCTAAAATCACTTGCCATACTGCACATGGACCTTTCTCAGTCTAGTTATATTTTAGTCTTCAGTTTCTTGACAATATATTTACAGACAGCAGACTTGGCCAGCGCAAATGCTTCTGAAGAAAACAAGATCCTTGCTATGATGTCACAGTCCACAAAAGAATATGATTCCTCAAAGTAGGTTGACAGTGGAATTAAACAAACTAGTTTAATACAGGGTGACACAAAAATAATGTAATACACTGGTTTTGTAATAAATCTCAATTATGATGGAATCTTCTTGAATTGTGAATACATAGGTGTGCTATACATATGTACTATGTAACATCCTTGACTTCAATTTGGAAATAATGTTTAAGGATTTAAGCCCTGGACTCAATGCAATGTTGAATGACCAGTCCTTGAAGGTGTTGCTTTCCAAAATTTGCAAGAGATGCAAAGTGTTAATTTAAGAAACAATGCCTCATTCTACAATGCATTGAGACTTGGGCTTTAATATTTTCACACATTGCAAAATATTCTCTCCCATGCTACTTAAAAAATTTGAAATCACTAAAAGAACATATTTTCAAAGAAACTTTTTGCAGGGGTCAAGTTGGCAAAGCATCAATTTCAATCTGCAGAGTCAAGTTGTCACCTTAACAACCACAAAACGAGTGACCTTGGATGTGGTGATTGGTGATATAATGCATATTAGACACAATCTGACACATGTTGCCTAGCTAGCTATGTGTGAATTTCAGTAAAATTGTGTTCTTGCTTCAAATTGTCCAAAAACTTAAAATTGCAATTCCAAATTTACAATTATTCAATATTTATAGATTGCTTACATACAAATATGTTTTGTCAGTAATGTATCCTATAGGCCTACAGTTGTGTCACACATTTTGAATGCTATGTACACAAGAAAATTCTAGATTTCATCATAATTGAAATCATTATTTCCAAATCAGATATTTACATTTTTGTGTCCCACTATATATGTACAGCATTGTAGATCACAGTACACTGGGTGAATGGTTTGATCAGTGACCATGGGCCTGGTGCAATACTGCATTTAGGCTAGAAACTACAAGTAGCTGTAATGATTTGACGTTCTGGATATACAGTATACCAGGATTGAGTTTTCATGGAAATTCCAATAAGATCAGAGGTGGAACTAAAAAAATCTATTTTGAAATAAAAATCAGTGTTTTGTTATATGTTTTGATTAAATATGTAAATTTGTAGGGATATATTTTTCAACATGGTTCAAAGGGGCAACCACTGTTCAGTTCAAGTTATTTGTCCCATAGGTCAACCCAAACTGTCAGATGTAAAATATTAAAGTTAATTTTTAGAAATAAAAAATAATAGGTCATCAACTTCAATTTTTCATTTTGCTTTTTCATTTTGCTTAAGTGAAACAAAAATATATTCATTTTCAAAAGTGTGATATCAAGAAACCTCTCTGTCCTTTAGCTGAACACTCATCAATGTTCATTACTAAAACATTGATCCATCTATTTCTGGGATACAACTACCATAATTATATGAACCCAATTCTGACCCCGCTATACCAATTCCATGGTTCAATAGAATTCACAGTTCCCGGTTTCTGTTTTGTGCATCGTTATGAATGGTTTAATTCTAGTTATCAGAGGACAAGGTTTATGCCGAGACCTGGGCAGATTCCACCAGCCAGCTATATATGTAAGGCCTGTGGTAGGCCAGGACATTTTATACAACATTGTACAGCAGCAGCAGGCAGAGTAAGTGATATACAAACTTGTATATGTACAGCAGCAGATCTGTAAATTGACAATGGATGGCCAAATGCACATGGGAATCTACCAGCATGATTTTAAAGTGTATTACTACATAGGAAATTATGAAATAAATAAATTCAATTGAAATTGAATTGAAAATATGATGGCCATATTTTGAAAATGTTCTATGGCCATATCTGTATGATATATGTCAGCTTAAAGTTTTATGAAATTGGGTTTCTTTATTTTCATAATTGAGGGTCATCTCAATGTGAAATGGTCAGGGCATAGTATGAATTAATTGGAGAAAGTAAGGTTTCTTTTATCATCTGGAAGTTCACATACTGAGAAAGTCTGATTAAAGAAAAATGAAGCTTCAGAATGCCTCTTTGACATGTTATTGCTATTTCAGGGCCGTGGCATGCCAGGTGAGCCAAGGCATTCCTTCAACTACAAGCGACCCTCTGGGATCCCCAATAGCTATCTGACCCCTGTAGATAAGCCTACACATGGTGCATATATTGGATCATCAGGACACCTTGTTATTCCTACTGCTGATCTGTGAGTGCTTTATATATCTTTATAATGCACTTGCTTTAAAGTGCGTTTCCTAATGAAATCAATGTGATCATTCTGTAGGAAAAACAATCTAATGATGTTGTATATACTGATATATGGAACTAAATTAGCATATCTAAATCAATAGAGGTTAACAATTTGAAACATTAATGCTGGAGTGATACATTTATTGCAATACCAATTGTAAATATTGAAATCATGATTTCCTAAATAATGAAAAATTGAAAATAACAAAGATAATTTGAATGAACATTTTGTTTCTCCACATAAACAAATGTCTAAGAACAAATATACCAGTTCTGACTTCAGATACCTCATGAGAGTACTCTGATACTTCATACTTATACTTTGATGCCTCATCCTCATGATATTACAGTGATACTTTATGGTACTCTGACACCTTTTAATATTCTTTTGTTATCATGTGATATAACTATGTTACTTCATGATATCAGCCCAACCCCCCCCATCCTTGGCCAAAAATCCTTTCAAAATCATGCAGTTTTTCACCATTTTTAACACCTTTCTAGTGATTTTGGGCCAAAGTTGTCAAATGTGAAACCCCTTGAATATTTTGAAAAGTGAGCCCTCCCCCTTGACAAAAGCTGGCTACACTCCTGTTACTCCAAAATATTGCATCATTACTTATACTTTCAGTGAAGCAAAGCAAGCTGGGAAGAAGAAGGCCATTCCAGGTTCACAGGGTCCTGCAGCACAGGAAAACCTTGTACCAAAAGAGCTCCTTTGTATGTTGTGCAATGACCTACTGACTGATGCTGTCGTCATACATTGCTGCGGGAACAGCTATTGTGATGAATGTAAGTTATATACCTGGCTCCCAATATAGAATGCTGTTGCAAAATGGATAAATTTTTATTTTCACACTTTATTTTCACTATCTATTTCTGGTTTCTAACACCTGATTAAAATGACAAGGGAAAGGTTAAAACCAGCTGATTTTTGATGTGTCATTTCGGTTTAGTAATACTGTCAATCATAAAGAAGCATTATAAATCAGTTGTTATAATAGAGTAATCTAAAATGTAACAAGAATATCGGACAAAATATGATGATACAAAGTTTGACCAGATCTTGGGATCCAAATGTTTATATTTTTTATCTTCTGCTCTCTAGGTATTCGTAACGCCCTATTAGAAGGTGACCACACATGTCCCACTTGTGAAGAGACAAACATCTCACCAGACAGGCTCATACCGAACAAGTTTCTTCGGACAGCTGTCGCAAGCTTCAAAAATGAGACTGGATACACAAAAGTTAAGAAAGCAGACATGGTGGCTCCACCTGTTGTTGAAAAAGCCCCAACTCCCCCACCTCCAGAGCCTGTGAGATCGCAACCTCCACCATCAAATCCACCTATTACAGGGCTTCCACCTCATGTGACGATCGTTCAGAGACCACCTGCACCAAGGTATATATCTCATTCTTTAAATATGAAATTATCAACAAAATGTTATTTTATAAAAAAAATTAGAGAAAAATGTCAGTATGGATCCTTCTTTTCAAATATTCAGAGTTTTAACTGAATTAACAAGTATATGAAGCAGGGGAGAACGCTCCTTTAGAAATAACATATGTTTATGATGTTTGTAATACTATTTTAGCAATGATGTTCCCCCAACCCCCACTAAGGATGAATTCAATGGGCCCAGTAGCTTTCCAGCATCAGCACCTATGAGCAGTGCACCCCCCAGCAATGCCATGATGCCTGTCTACAGTGCTCCACCCCCAGCACAGGCACATGACCCGAGGATGTTCCGCCCCAGAGGTCCTCCCCCAGGACAACGTAAGTCAATCAATGATATATTTGAATTAATTCATAAGTTTATCTAATTTTATAATTGACTTAAAACGGAATTTAGTCTTTTTTATTATTATTATCATTTAATTGCCGTTTCTGCATTTACTTTTTGTTTATTTATATTCTTCAGAATCAATGTACATTTCATATTTTATACTTCATAGCTTTCCTAGCAGCCTGTAAGTATCAAGGCTCATCTGTACTAAGAAAACCAATGGACATTATTTTGGCATTTATTTCAAATGATTAAATCAACTGAAGTGAATTTTACTTCAAGGAAGTGGATAAAGTCCATAAAAATAGTGGAACAATCTCTCTGTTTTCTTCTGTACCATTTTAAGAAGCTCTGTTGTTTATAAACACTCTGCTGTACAGAATAGATCAAGGTTATCTCTGCTCTAGCTTCAGTTCCAAATGTGCTAAAATTAAACAGTACATCTGCTTCATAGTAAATTTACTTGTTACTCATTAAAATTATTCACAATTATTGTTATGTTATTAGATAAGGTCTCAAAAGCGAAAACAATCTTCTTCACCTATGCTTACATGATTTAGAACCTTGCACTCAGTTAATTTACCAATCAGAAACTGAATTATACCAAGAAAAGCACAACGTTGTATATGCCTCTCATCAACATGATTATGCTTAATATTTTAAGTAAATGCTTTATTAATAGAAGTGACACTTTATGCACTTAAGGCACTCCTAATTAATGGGTCAATCTTATAAAGTATAGTCCATTTTGTAATATGATAGACATTTAGGACAGTGAAAGTGACACTACATGTTGCTCGAAAGCTAAATATAATACCATTGAAGATCACTTCATTTCTACATCTATCTAAGTTTAAGTCATATAATAAACACCAATTAAATATTTTTTTACGTTACCACCAAGAAGTGGTAATTCTCGACAGATATCCCTAAGAATTTGTTACACTTTTGTGCCATTAGCTGGTGATGACATTTTCCCATGTTATGTTTTATCAACTCATAAACAATTTGTTTTGCAGATGTTGTAGGAGGTCCACCCAACATGTTTCCAAGGGGCCCTCCAATTTCTGTTCATAACAGGTAGGTACCACTTACAACAGAACTGCTTGGTGAAATAAAAAAAATCTCATTATAATCTCAAATTATGGTGGAGTTGTCCATACAACATCAAATTGAAGCTATTAAAGGGAGAATGTGGCTGAGATAGATTATGTCTAATTCAAAATTTTTAGAAGATATCGTATGTGGTTGAGCGACTACTTATCAGTTCCATTTCATGTTTGTTTAGTGGTCCTCCGATGCACCCCAGAGGCCCTCCAATGATGCCCCAGAGACCCCCTGCCCCATTACCTGGGAACCCTATGATGCAAGGTCCACCCATGGGACAACCCATTGGATTCAGAGGTCCACCTAGTAAGTGAATAACTTATTTAAGTCAAACTTTTGAGACAACCTTTCCTGCTTAGGTTAGAAATAAATATTCACACAACATGTTAATGGTTTCATTTTGTTTTGTTTATTCTTAGTCGTTTCCTGTCAAACATCATTAATGTTAATGTATGTGTCACATTGAGATTTAAGTATTTAAGGTACAGGTTTTCAGAAGTTTTTTGAAAAACTAAATTTTGGTTTAATATTTGCAGATGCACCTCCGCTGAGAGGTATTGGTCCTATCCCCTCCTTACATGGAATGGCTCCTCAGGCAATACCCTCAATTCGCCCCATGGTACCACCACCAGGGGACAGGCCGCTAACTGCTGAGGAATTCTACCGCACAAAAGCAGAACTACTCGAGAAAGAGATGTAAGGAACACATTATGCAGATAGCAAAATTCGTTTATGATTATAAAAAGATTTAAATCATTTGGTCATGTTATATGTGATAAATGAAAAATAGATTGAATAAAATATGTAATGTTAGTTCAAGGTTAAGTTTGTGCAATTTTATCATGTTCGTATGTTTGTGATGACTGTTCATCTGACCAAATTTTTATATTTCAGCAAGAAGAAGACTTCAGATCCAATGGAAGATTTCCAAAAAGAGCTGGATCGTAAAAAATTGACTCAAAAGATTGTTCCTATTCCAAAATCTCGTTCAAGATCTAGGTCTAAGACTCCAATCCGTATGAGGAAATCACGCTCAAGGTACCTTTTCATTTTTACACAACATTTCATTAATTGTTGAACAGTATCATTTTCATATATTTATCATTTGATTTACATTTTTTAGTAGTAATCTAGTTTTTAAATTTTTTTTATCAGAACTAGATCCCAATCCCGCTCCAGGCTTCGCACACGATCACGCTCAAGAAGTAGAAAATCCAGAAGTCGCTCAATCTCAAGGCCCCGTCGGCATTTAACTCGCTCAAGGTCAAGGTCAATATCACGTCGTAGATCAAGGTCATTTACTCCGAAAAGAAGGCGATCATTCTCTAGGTCATTCTCAAGGTCACCTGTGCGTAGACGATCTAGAACAAGGTCAAGGACACCACCATATTATTATCGTAGGTCTATATCTCCAGGACCTCGAAGAAGATTTTCCAGAACGCCACCTCCAAGGTAAAGAAAACTGATGTTTGAGTGATATTTATGTAATTCATTGTTCTCCAGTGAGTGCGAAGCTATTAAATCTATTATATTTCATTTTAAGATACAAGATGGAATTGATTTTCAATTTGGTCCCTTGGTGATTCAATTCAAATTCTAAATAAGTTACATCACCTGGCTGCTTAGATACTAGAACTAAATACTTGAATGTGAATTATACAAAGGAATGCAAAAATCCTGGAAAAGATGGAGTTGACCCATGCTTTGAGTCTGCATTATAATATAAAATTGATTTCTACAATATTTCAGACGTGGTTACTCCAGATCTCCCTCTCCCTACGGTCGTGACCGTCCATTTAATCGCTATAGAAAATCTCCAGAAAGACGCTTCAATAGAGGTCCTCCTGAGAGATCATATCCCCCAGAGAGAGGCCATGATTACGACCGTGGATTTGCTCCAGATACAAGGTACGGATTGTCTTACATGTACTTCTACATTATGTGCTGAACTCTGATCCTAAAGTAAACCAAACAACTGTATGGCATTGGCAGATGATTTTAGATAGGTCATATCTTTCACCATGCATAATATCTCACCATAAATAATGACATTTATTATTGAAACAATATGCTTTCTTCCAAGTAAAGTCGCCATCCAGGCTTATAAAAATCTCAATTGGACTCTTCCAAAAACCGTGAATTAGGACCCCACTGCTGTTTTTCAAAATGTTTTGAATTATTTTCTTAAAAGAGTATTTTTGACAACAAGAAATTTTAACACATCTAGCCTATACTATTTTGGTAGGAAACTACTTCTGGTCAAAGATACGGATGTCTGTTGTTGCCATATCACATTTAGGCTAAGTGAAGTCTTAATACTCAGCTACTTTATAAATTGTATTAAGTTCAAGTTTACATCTTAAAACAACACTGTTAATCCAGGTCTGTTGTCTTATACTTTCACTCCTGTATATGATCTTTATTAAAAGGTAACTTATGTTTGCAGATATCGTGATGAGCCGCAAAGAGGCGGAGGACTACGTCCAGTGGGAGGAGATCGCTATGATCCACCAGTACAGCGTGATCCAGTGCAACCTGCAGCTGTACAGAATTCCAGAGATCCACGTGATCCCCTTGATCCAAGAAATGATCCGAACTGGGATCCAAAAGATCCAAGAATGTACGAGATGTATTATCAGCGCTACAGGAACTACTACAAGGATTATTATCGTGATTTCTACAGGAAATACTCTGCAGAATATAACATGACTCCAGCTGAATTTGAGGAGCAAATGAGGGAGCATTTCGCTAATCATATGCGGAAATATTTAGTGCCGGAGAGACCTGCTGTACCCCGACCTTCTGTTCCCTTACCCCCAGGGCAAGACAACTCCAGGCACAGATCTATCTCTCCTGCTCCTAAGGTCAAATCACCCATTGGCTCCAAGTCAAGTGCTGATATTAAACCAACAAGAACAAGGTCAAAGTCACCAAGAGCCAAATCTCCAAAGCTGAGTTCCTCAAAAGCTCCCAGGTCCAAATCTAGGAGCAGGTCGCCCCCATCTAAAGCTAAGAAAGATAAGGAACGCAAAAAGTCACGCTCCAGAAGCAGATCTCGGGACAGAGACAACAGACATAAACATGATAAGAAAAAGGCTAAGAAGGTTGAAGAAGAGAGAAAAAGGAAGGAAAAGAAAGAGGAGAAAAAGCAGAAAGAAAATAAAAAGAAAGAAAAGGAGCGTGCGAAAGCTGAAAGAAAGGCAAAACGTAAGGCAAGCGTTGCAACTTCAGAGAGTGACATCAAATCCCCACTCAATGACATGCAGTCTCCAAATATAGAAAGGAGGTCCTCAAGGACAGAAGAAAAATCCCCAAGAGCTGAAGAAAAATTATCCAGGGCTACAGATAGGTCTCCAAGGACAACAGATAGGTCACCAAGGGCAACAGACAGGTCCCCACAGACGACTAATAGATCTCCAAGGGCAACAGATAGGTCTCCAAGGACAACAGATAGATCTCCAAGGACAACAGATAGGTCTCCAAAAGGTGATGTAGAAGATATAGAAAGAACTATTATGGAAATTGAAAGAACTATTGAAGAGTCTGAAAGACCTCTCAGTGAAACTAAAGAGAATAGTCCCCAAGATTCAAGAGAAAGGCTGACAGATGGTGCTAATGTAAATAATAAAGATGAAGAAAACCTCAAACATATAAATGACACTCAAACTAAAATAGATGATGAAAATAAAGTGAATGTTGTTGAGAATATTGATAAACTGAATGGAGCAAGTGAATCAAATACAAAAATTCCCACAAATATTGGGGAGGAAAAATTGCAAGATAAAAATGAAAAAATGGAAGAGACAACGGATGTAGAGAAAAGTGAAGAAAAAACACCTTTACTTAAAGAACCTAAACCACCCGGTGTTGATAGTAGTCCATCTCCAGTGAAGAAATTAAAAAAGTTAAAACCTAAATTAAAACCAAAGAAAAATAAAGAAGTGCCTACTAATATTGATGCTGAAAAACCTTTAAAAAAGAAATTAAAAATTCCAGATGGAACTAAAAAAATTAAAAAGATAAAGAAAGTAAGAACAGACTCACTAGTGCCTCAATCTCTTGAAAATAATCCTGAATTGTCTAAAGAGAGAATGAAAAAGCGTCTCTTGCCAAGTGACTATGATAGTGGTAGTTCTGCAACAGGGACACCGACTAAGAGGTCAAAATTTGAACTTGAGGAAGCCCCGCTCTTGGATGCCCATTTTGAGGAGGACCTTGCTAAAGACACTGTGATGATTGATGCCCCTGAACTGTCTAAATGGGAGAGAGATGATATTGATTTAGACCTAACTCCCACTGAACCTTTGCCTTCCAGGCAGGCAACAGAGAAACTACAGAAGTCATCTCTTCCAAAGTAAGCTAAATAATTTTTTGAGAGTAACAGTAATATTTAGTTTAGTTATATAAAATCCTGATGATTTGATATTCGCAAACATTTATGTGCACAATGTGCACAAAACATTTTCCATACATGTGAAAGGGAGGCCAGTTGTCAACTCTACAATTATTGGGATTATCTCTCATGTTTCTATACACATATTTTAATTTTAATTTCAGGTCTATAATCGAGAAAGCTGAAAGTGTTCTTGCCAACAAAACGATGAAAGTCTCATCTAAGGTGTCAGCATTGCCACCCAAGTCCCCCCGGCGAAGTCCTACACGGTCTAAACCAAAATCACCTCAGATGAAGTCTAGACTTGGATATAAATCTCCAAAATCAAAGTCCCCATCCAGGCGAAGCCCTCCACATAGACCAAGGCCATCCCCTCAAAGGTCAAGGTCATCCCCACATAGATCAAGATCATCCCCACAAAGATCAAGATCAAGGACTCCACAGAGGTCGTACAAATCTGTTATAACGTCTCCAAAGAAGCACAGCCCACCACCAGGCAGAAGTAAAGGACGACGTGTGTTTATAGGAGACAAGAGTCTAGGAGAGACTAGGGATAGACCAGGTGACCATAAGCGTAAAGTGTCAGATTCCATGCAAGTCACCCTTAAATCACCCACTGAAGACAAATCTATTGACCTGAGAAAGATCATCGAGGAGAGGACCAGGTCTAAAGAGGACAGAAAACCCAAAAGTAAAATAAGCCTCAGGGAGGAAATAAAGCGTGAGAATGAAATGATGTCTGATGTCCGGGAAAAGAAATATCGACCAGATAGACACAAGCATGAAAAATCTGAAAGTATTGAGAGGGACAATAAAAAGAAGATTAAGAAAGATAAATTCAGAGAGACTTCTTCTAAGCATAACTCCTCTGAAAAGCATACCAATAGAAATGGTGAAAAATCGAAGTATAAATCTGAAGAGACATCTCAAACAAACAACTCCAATGTTAAGCTCAAAGCTAAAGTGGAGCGTAAAGAATCCATTATGGACGAAGACAAGTTTGAACCAGATTATGAGGAAAGTGAATCAGAGAGTGAAGAGGAGCCTGCCCCTCGTAAAGTCCCCTCCAAGGCAACAAAAAGTCGATCCCAGGAGAGTGAAGAATCAGACTCCTCTGATGATGATTCAAGTGACGATGACTCTACTGACGAGAGCTCTTCAAGTGAGGAGGAGAAAAAGCCAGTGAAGAAATCTAAAGGAAAGAAACGACGTAGAGCTAAGTCATCCAGTGATGACTCCTCAAGTAGCAGTGACAGTAGCCCTGAGCGCAAGAAAAGAAAAAAGAAGAAGATGAAGAAAGTCAAGAAGCATAAAAAACACAAGAAGACAAAAAAGAAGCACAAGACAAAAGACAGATACAGAAGTAGAAGTCGTAGTCATGACCGAAGCAAAAGAGACTCTAAATACAGTAATAAACATTATGAATCAAAACATCAAGATAGAGATAACGAATACCGTGATAGAGAATATTACCGTGAACGGGATCGAGAAAGGGATTACTATGATAATAGCAGTAGCAGAAGTTCCAGATCACATCGATATTAAAACACTTGGTATACTCTACCAGTTTAAAATACTGGTATATTCTACCAGTTTGCATGATTTAAATGGACATTAATAAATGTAGGGGTTAAAAAGTATTACTGTAGATTGGGTTAATTTGGCGCTACTTAATTTGGCGATTTTGCCATTTTTGGCATATTGGCGGCTATTTAATTTGGCGGATATGCAAAAAAAATGTTAATGGAATGTTAAACTTACGCGCTGTTTGCGAATTACCATGTAGATCTAGATCTAAATGGGCATGTTTGGCTATGTTCATTTTTTCTTTTGAGGACCACTGGCGATATTCACCACGTTTGTACATTTTTGTGAGATCATCCTTTACATTTTACACCTCAATCGATGCTGCTACTTTTCCCTGAGTATAAATGAGTGACTGACCAGTTCTGAGCCAATTTATGAGAGACATTTTTTCATATGTTTGGAAAAAATAAACCGGAAGTGACCTTAATACACTGGACGAAATAGATAAAATAGATGATTCCCGGGGATTCATTCTAAATTTTGGCGGAGATTTATATTGGCGAATTATTCAATTTCGCCAAATTCGCCAAATTAAAGCGGGCGCCAAATTAACCAAATCTACAGTATTCAAAATTAAATGGGATAACGTTTAAAACTTGATTCCAAAACCCCTTAAAGTGATTCAATTTTAGAGATATAAAAGCCAATTCACTTCTACTGTGGCTTTGATTATTATGGTTAACAGAACATCTTGTCAATGCTTTTGTATTTGTTTTCAACTAAATATTGAAAAAATCTTCTCAATGTACTTAGACTGTAGCAGTAGTTTGAGGGGTAAATAGTTAGCTGGATGAAAGTTGATGTGTCATGTTCAAGTGGAATGCATCATGTTCAAGTGGAATGCATCATGTTCAAGTGGAATGTATCATGCTAGAAGATGAACTATAAATCATGAATATAATTAAAATAATTGCCTTTAAGTATGTAAAATCATGAAAAGATTCGTTACAACAAGATACTTAAATTCCATATAAATTACTTTGATTTTTGAAGTAGTTGTGTGATATGATTTTTTAATGACAAGGAACGTGTCTTTATTTTGAGATGACATGATTTGTCATTGTAAGATGAATAATAATTATTTTCATTGTGTAAGTTGTAACCATAGTTGTTTCAGCACTATTTTTGGCAACCATAACTTCTACAACTTTGAATTACTTTGCCTTGGTCTGATATGATTATCATTGTTCTTTGATATTTGGATTTTCACATTGTTACATTTGCATTGCCACACTCAGGGAAGTCAGAGAAAACAAACCAGGTTGAACTGGAAAGTTGGAAATGTTAGAATTTAAGAATTCTGAAAAAATGAAATTTTGAAAAGTTAAAACTGGACCACTTTACTCCTGAAAAATACTTAAAGAGAAAAAAACTAATTTTAAAAGGCAAGTTATGCATCGCAGTGTGAAGTATAAACCCTGAACTAATTCTTTCAGATATATGAATGCCAAATTAACTATGGTTATATAATGCAATGCACACATTTCTTAATGGCAGAAATAATACATAGAACTTATTCTGTTAGACAGTGTCAAATGGCATCAAACCTGGACATTGATGATTGTTGAGGATGATTGGTTGGTGATGAATATTCATCATCAAAAATGTATGTTTCATTTAACAACACAGCATTATTTTCTACTCTGATCAGTCAAATAATTTAATATACAGAATGTAAAACATTCTTAAATGGTATGATGAAATAAAATATAAAAATGCAAAACAGAAATTGATTCTTATGTGACATGTTATTGTACAGCCAGTCATACAGGGTGTCCATGAAAGTTATGGTACAACAATGATTACCCGATTAATGTGTAAATGGTGGAACCTGGAAGCAGTCATTATGGAGCTGTTACATAAGGCCATGTGGGCTCACTATTTGCCATTATGTGAATACTTGGGAGAGATGGCAGGTAGGCAGGGACACTATTCCTCTCATACTACGAACAAAAATTAATTAATTCATCTAGAAATTAATGCCCAAAATTATTCACATGGTGGCAAATGGTGAGCTTTAACAGATCCAGTAATAGTGAAAAAATTTGTGTCAGAATGTTTTGAACACCCCTCATTTCTTTTTTTTCCGACATTTTATCTGGTATGGTATGGTATGGAAACTGTTTTTAGACAATCTTGCCTTTGACCATGAGTATTATTTTACCATAAATACCTTTCACATCAAAACAAAATAATCTTTACTTCCAAGCAGAATATATTTTTGAAATATCTGAATTATTTTCAAAAAGAGAATCTTTTTCTCGTTATTATTGAAAGCTTATTTTGGTGGAAGATATCAAATGAGCTGAAAACAAATGGATTGTATGAGTTTTCCCTAAATATCATGGGATATGTGGTTTATGGCATTTCTTCGCTATTCCCCTTGAAGACGTTATGGACTTAGTGCAGAAGAAACTTTTGATATAAAAATGAGAATAGGAAGGCGAGAATAATGATAATGTATCAAGATAGGGTCCTAAACAGTGGTTTTTTGGACAGACCTTACTATGTCAATACCAGAAGTTGTGAATGTTTGTCTCCCAAACTTTTTGTGGACGGGGTTCAAATTCAACGTCCATAACAATTTGCAGTAACATACAAGGTGGTGACATTTCGTCATGGTAATGCCTTGTTCAGAAATTGTGTCACCCTGTAGCAAAAATGACAAAAACCTCCATGTCCCAAAAATTAAGTAAAAATTATCCATTGTCATATATATTTAATCTCTTCAATATGACACAAAACATGATATATTTTCATAAAAATGTGTTTTATTAACAGCTGCTGATTGATAATAATGTCATAATATAAATCCAGTGCTTTCAATAATTACGAGCTTGTATAGTCCTTTTCAATAAACTATTAGATACACGTTTATACCTAGTACATTGTATATTGGCCAGGTTCATAGTGTCGGGTTCCAGGAAACCACTAACCATGCTTACTAATAAAATTTTAAGAAGTTTTCGAAAATTAGCATTCTACTATCTATCTCACTCCAACCTATGACAACATTGAACTAGCCAAAATACTGTATAAGTGTTTTTTAATCCGAGTGTTTAATTTGATGAATGGTCACATTTTTTCATTTTCCTCATTTTAATTTACCTAATGACAAGAAACTTCCCATTGGATAACATTATGAAAATAATATTTCCAACGTTTAATTTTCCGAATGTGGTAAAAATCAGACAATAGGCAAATTAAATGATTAGGCAAAATTACCACTTATACAGTATTTTGGTAGTTCCAATGTAGCTAAAACAGGCAGGGTTTATTGGAAAGGTCCACAATAATACATTGATTTTTTTTTCTGTGATATTTCTCATGATTGAATCTGTGAACTTCAAATCCTCAACATTGAACCAATTTGATCCTTCACCTAATCCAAGATTATATCTAACGCAGGTGAGGATTATGTCCAACACAGTTTAACATTATGTCCAACAAAGTTGAGGATTATATCTACCATAGTTGAGGATTATATCCAACATAGTTGAGTTGAGGACTATCCAACACAGTTGAAGATTATGTCCATGACAGTTATAAATTATGTCCAACATAGTTGAGGATTATTAACAACACAGTTGAAGATTATGTCCAACATAGTTGAAGATTATGTCCAACACAGTTGAGGATTATGTTCAACACAGTTGAAGATTATTTCCAAACTGCTGAGGAATATTTTCAACAGTTGAGGATTATATCCAACACAAACCCAGTTGAAAGTCATATATTAGGAAATTGTTAATTAAGAACACTGCATATTTCAAAAAGAATGTGAGATGCAGTGATGCAAAATGCTATAAATGGTTCCCCATATATCATGGTTTCCAGGAACATTTTTAATTTTATCTTATCTTTTACTTTGTGCAAGTAGTATATCATGAAAATAAAGAAAAAAATTATTTACTCTTGCCAAAGAGCTTACATAAATTATAATTTCTTAAAAGATTATGCACATCTTATGCTTGTATACAGCTTATATAAATTGCTGCCCATCCCACAGCAGAACAATGCAGCCTACAAATTGTATACCCAAACATTGGGTGAAACTTGAATAAATAAATTGAAATTAAATGTTCAGTCCACTTCTAAACTAGCCCGGCTAGTTGTTGCTATGGCACCAGTTTGTTGTGTCTGGTGCTTGATTTGTTGGCATAAAATCTTCTGTAAAGTCATAATCTCTGGTTTAAAAAGTGTCTTATTAGAGACATTAGCAAGTGCGAATGCTTCTGTTGCTTTGTTACTGTAGTTTATCATTGTGCTGATACTGGCAATATTCCTTACACCCTGGAATAAAGAGAACATACAATTGCATGTTTACAGTATTTTTGCAGCAAATTAACTTTCTATTTAGAGTAAGGTAATGTCCAAAATAAAGGAATTTATCTTTAATATGGCCTGTGATTCACATTTTGCTTTTAGAGTTGTTTTTTTAAATTTCAATTTTTGTATACGTTTTTTGGACTATGAGAGACTTTATTGTATAATATACCTGGTAAATTGTTTTCTGAAGGTCCTGTGTGTCATACAAAGCTATCAAATAATCCTCAGTGACCTCCCAGTCCTGAAAGAAATGCAACACATACATACATTCATACATATATTGTAGTACAATTTATTTTTGCATTCATAATCCCATAATAAAGAAAATCATTCAAATGTTATAAAAAGTTTATTTCCTAGCTTTGAAGTTCACACAAGTTGAACATTGCCTGAGTTTATGGAGCCCATGTTAATGAAATATTTCAACCCATCTTTTAGTTTTATGTGCATGTTAAGACTGCAAGATGTCAATTGTAAGTAAAGAAGTCAATACCATTGCTAGATTCTCTGCCACAAAGAACAACTCAGTGAGAGCACGTACAACTGGTGACGTCACTGTGCCCATATCTGAGGAAGTCTCACTACACTTCTTGTACAGCAACCATAAAGGTTTCAGCTCTCCAAGGTCAATGCAGAGTTTGCTGACCCCACTAGACCTACAACAAAGCAGAGAATATTCAGGGAGATCTACCTAGAAATGGGATGCAGGATTGGATAAAATCAGATATACAAGGTCTAAAATAAATAGAACATAAACTGATAAAATTCATATAGAACCCTGATTGACCCCAATTTATGTTTCTCTTGTTGAATTGGCCTTTAATGATTACAATGATAAAAGTCATACATTGAATAATTTGGAAAAGTTGATGAATTTTATAAGATTGACTATACCATGACTATCATTGAGTTTGTAACTGGTGTCACTCATGGGACGAATGTACAATGAGAGAGGTTTTCAAAAATTTCTTTTTAGAATTTCAAATTTCCCATATTTTGTCTAAGTGAACTGTGAAATGATTTTCCACAAATAATCAGCCTCTTGACTCATTTAGGTGTACAGAGATTCAACAATCTGACATACTTAAACTGTGTCTCCAGGATCTGTAGAAGCAGCTGAATAGTCTTGAGCCTATGTTGTCCTGTCTGCTTACATGCTACATACACCAAACTACTCCACAGCTCATCAGTATGTAACAACCTACAAACAAATTACAGTACTTAATTTCAAAATTAACAATTCTTGTGTCACATCTAAATTAAATTCTTCAAGAAAATAAATATAATAATTTAATAACATAATTGTAAAATTCAATCTTGCCTCGAGTTACTGGATGATGAGAGTAAAGCATTGAGGAGCATATATCCTGTGTCAAACCTGCCCACACATCCCCCTGTAACAGTGAACCTGTAGCCCCAGTCAGTGTTACTGCAGTCTGTTTGGAATATATAGTGAAGAGTGTCACCTGAAACAAACAATAGTCACCTGTTAACAATAA